GACACACAACACTCAAACCCACTGAGATGCCCTGACCTGGGATCATTCTTTGGGTAGGCTTAGTAGAAAACGAGGAATATTTTTATCCAAAAAAAAAAAGGTTAACCCCTTTTAGCTATAGATGGCCACCGCATACTCAAACGGAACAGATTTTAAGCACAAATACCTAGTCCGATGCACACCTAAGGTTTTTCTGCAATAGAGTACCCTTGATGGAGTAGTTTAAAGCAACCTGGTCAAGTGACACTTGGCAGCACTACCTGCACAGATCAAAACCATTTAGTCAATGCCTTTATTAGGGGTGCACCGATATATCAGTTGGCTATTGGATCGGCACCAATAAAAAGAGAAATGAGTTTCTTAGTTATTGGCTTTTTTAGCTTGTTGTAGCCAGTAATTAAGGCTGCGTGCTCAGAGCATCCTGGTGAGCCCCATCGCCAGCCCGAGCCTACAGCAGACTACAGGTCCCCGTGAGCAGCGGGAGGGAGGCGCCAGGGAGCGGTTACAGGGTGCCACGCTCAGCAACAAAGGGACGGTTACCAGGTCCTGCTGCGGAGATAGACTACACGCAGGCAGGGTGCACTTGCAAAAGTGGCTTCCCCCCGTGACCAGGGGGGCTCGGCTACGTGGGGCCCACCAGCTGTGACACAGCAGCATGATCTGGGGCTCCAAACACACCCGGCACCGCTGTCTGCACAAGGGCCTGCCCTACACCCCTGGGATGGCATCGCGGGCTGCACGGGGAGCGGGTTGGAGCCATGGGCAAGGGGGCGACGCGCATGGGAATAAGGTGGTAACCGTCTTCCTCACCGGGGCCGGAGCAGGCAGGAGGCGTGTGCACGCATGTGTTAGAAATGCAAAACAAACAAAAACAAGTTTTGTGTCAGGAGGTTAAAATGCCTCGCACTATTACTAAATATTGGTTATCAGATCGGCATCAGCCAATACGGTTAATCATCAGCTTTTGGGTTAGTTGAAAATAGTTATCGGTGCACCCCTAGTCTTTATTCTTTATTACTGCTCGCAGCGTTTCAATAATGCCCAGAAGCTCCAATCAGATCAAGGCCTCGCCGTGCTAGCACTTCGCAAACGCATCTGAAGATACGTCCCTCTGCCAGCAAGTTGACTACTTAAATGTACTCTTGTCAAAGGGACAAATCCTGCGCTGAGAGACAAGCGAGCCCCAAAAGGTACGCAGCAGCATCTGCGTACACCTGCGTTCATGTGCAAGGCTACGGCACATCCTCCTTCACCAGCAAGAGCCACCGTCACTTCTGGAGAGTGCCGTGCCAAGGGGCCTGCGCCTCCAGTCAGGTTTCATACAGAAGTCCAGCACTCAGAGAAGACGGGGTCCACGATGCAACACTCCCATCTTGATCCAAACTGGGATCGCAGCCTGTTCCCTGTTCTGCAAATGCAGGTTTGGCCCTCACGCGCGTGGCACACTGCATATGCACCTCTTCACAAACCGCGCTTGCTTATGAGGTATAAAGCACCAAAAGCGTTTAACTCGCAAAATACTGGAAGTTCCCCAGTGTCTTCCCATCCTACTGGTCTGAGAGGAGAAGACAACAGAAACAATTAGAGACCCTAGGTTTGCTAAAAATTATGTCCGGCAAACTTTACCCTGGGTTTGCTAAAAATGATTCCCAGCAAACTTTCAACAAATATGTTGCTACCTGGTACACGTCAGCGCTTGTCAGACCCCTACGCCAACTGTGACAGGAGCCAGTTCTGAAATGAGCAAAACAGGAGCTTTCACTAATTCTCTCGGGTCACCCGTCAAAAACAAGTCGTCACCGCAGGATTAAGTTGCATCAAGTCCACTTCGATCCTAAAAAAAAACAACTTCCCTCGTGGAGCCACGAGCCTGCCCGGCAGGTCTGAGCTGAATGGTTATGATGGCACAAAACAAAAAACACCACCGGCCAAAAATGAATAAATAAATACATAAGATTAAAAAAAAAAAAAAAAAGCCTTTTTGTTGACTAAGAAGAAAGGGTCAAACTTCTGTGGCGCTCGTGTCCGAGCCCCTGCCCAGCACGCTCGGACAAGTACGGCGGTGTGAGGAAACATCGCGAAAATAAGCGGACAGAAAACCCAACCGCCCTGCTAGGCCATAATTGATCGTCATAATTATGTAATTACCCGCCTGCCTATCAATAGATGGCATAGATAAATAGACAGACAGACGTGTAAGTGTACAGATAAGCGTGCGGTTAGATGGATAAACACACATAAGGTTAGACAGATGATAGATAGATAGACAGATAGATAGACGGATGGATGAACGCAGAGTTAGAGATGTTCGCGGATGTAGACTGAGCTGGGTGTACGGACACGTCTATAGTTAGGCAGATCCACGGCGGCGTCGGTCGGTGGACAGATGTGCGGACAGAGGGGCAGGTGTGCGGGCAGACACCCACCGCCCGCCCGTCGGGACCGGTACACCGGCCGGGCCCCGCGCTCGCTCTCCCCTCCCCGCGCCCGGGCCGGGGCC